TATTTTAAAGTACCCTCAAAGTTTGATCCTTAAATCTACAAGCAGAAGTTTTAGGAAGCCCATTGCTGACTGGGAGCACCAGAAAGCAAACCCAAGGAATCCCTACACCATTACATCTGTGCAGCTTCTGGGACAGAAAAGAGATTGAGCTGAGCACAAATACTCCAGATATTCGAGTCATAAATGCCAGATAAACTCAATCATTTCATATAACCAGTGAACAAGCTTCAGACTACTTGACTGGATTCTATCAGCAAGTTAAAAAACCCTGATTTCCAGTTCCTTTATACAACTGGCACAGACCTCTGCCCGCAGTTGTGGCTGAGACTTTTACTGGTAAAGCTGCCAATCTTTTTTTAGGGGTAAGGCAACAATGCACTGCCTGGACCAGCAGCAAAGCCAGGTAACTGTTAAAGCACTCAAAGCTTAAAGAATAAAGCTGGGAACATAGACTAAAGATTCACTTTTCTTCATGGTAAATTTAAAGACTGCAAGATCCCCAAAAAACAACGTATGAGTTGTTACATCAGCGTTTATCCAGTGGCAGATCACCAAACTACGTCCACAAACTGTCACGATGTGACCGACATCGACTACAGCGCTCCACCAAGGATCTTGGTTACAAAATACCCCACCAGCAGGCCAGGACATCCAAAAATCCAGAGGCCAACAAAATACAAGGAAACAACCAACTCCAGCCTTGCACAGACTCGTAACAAACAACACTCGACCTGGAGCGCTCCCCTGGTCCAATTTCCTTTTAATCCATAGACCCTCCATAAAGCAACTGAGTGAAACCCATCCCCTGCAGCCCAATGAAAAGCACCAATCAGAAGATTTCTCTTTCTGCCTCACTATAACGAGATTCAACCGGCAACACACCGCATGCGTGTTCTCCAAGGCACGCAGAAGTACCAAAAAAAGCTAATTCTGTTTTTCGGTGGTTGGCCAGACAGCACACAGGGCTCCTGCACGCAATTCACAGCAGATACTTGATGTAACACACCCCAGTACTCCAAACTACGTTGATGAAGCCATGACATCTTTTGTATAAGGTGCCTCAAAGAGCTAAACGTTCCTGCCTGTGCATCCAAAAATCTATAAACTAAGGATATAGACTCCTCACAGAAGGTGAGGGTAATTGTCGGGTTTCCCCAGCACAGAAAGGCATCCTACCAGAAAGCAAACATCGCTCATCTGTAACGTTTTACACCGCTGGGTGCTGAGGTGAAGTTTTCTAACAGCACCCCTCGCCGTCACGTGAGAGCAGCACTGCGTGGACTTAAATCTGCACCTTACGAAAGGTGACCTGGATTTGCACTGTGAAAGCAGGTCAGTCCTTTCAGACACCATCCCTGTGTGTTTACTGCCCATTGTTCTCGCAGCACGGGGGCATCCTCTCACAGCCGTGAGGAAGCACTGCAGCCTCTGAGACACAGAGGTGTGGGAAAGGAAAGGCTGGAAGAAAAGAGGTGCTGGGGCGAGGTTGGGCCAGCACTGAAAACAGACTTAAAATACACTTCAGATATACTCACGATATCCTGGCAGATGTACCCAATGGCCTCCAACGTTGACTCTTTCATGTGCTCGGTGCTGTGCTGATTTGTAACGTTCGCTACCAACTGGGGGATGAGTTCAGGCCATTGGTTCATGGGGATCTCGGCGCAGGCGATGCCGGCCACGCACTGGGAGGCTGAGCTGGGCCTGTACGTTTCTGTGCCCAACGTCTGCAAAACCTGCGGAACGGAGCAGAGGGCCATGGTTTGACATCACAGTGACCAAAGAGAATGGTGCTGGTTTGCCACCCAGATCTTTGCTTGTCGTTATTCCCAAAACACCCCTTCCCCAGCTCTGCTTTCTCCTGCTGCAAACAAGGCCGTGACTATGGACAAAGGTTTGAAATGAACTCGGCCATGGCCGCCCCTTTCAGGAAGGGAGCTACAGCTGGGGGATTACAGGCGCTGCGACCACATCCTTTAAATCCCAAACACAATGCTGTGCGCCATAACGCGCAACAATGACTCACCAAACAATTCCTCCCCGCTTCACTATAAAGCAAAACTGTGAAAGCTTAACAAATTGTGGTTTAAAATCCATCCCCCCCACTCCTCCAAATACTGGACTGTTTATGCCAAGATCATCTGAATAAGAGTTAATAATTTTCATTCATTTTAATTGCAATCAATCAGAAGAATGATTTTTTGGGTATATGTCAATAACATTTCTTTAAAAAAAAAATAAAGAAGGGAGGAGCATGCATTTGTTTTAGCATTTCCATTGATACATCTCCAGTTGCCATATATCCACTTAAAAAATACTGTATTCCTAAAGTATTCCTAATAAACCACTTCTGTTAGCTTCAGCACACAACACACAGCTCCTGTTTACAGTATCAGTTCACCCTTAGCTGGCATCAGTGTAAATTGAGGACTAATGTTGTACCATCATCACCTGCCCAACCTTATTCTGCTTTATTCAGGTTCCATTATTACCAAAAAAAAGCTGTATCAAGCATATGGCCAACTTGTACCAATTGCTGTGCACATCCACGCACACCTTTGCTCCCATCAGCCCAAAACCACTAAGCCACCAGTTCTGCCATTGCAAGTTCTGAACTTGAATTATCAGTGAACACAGAAATCCTCGGGTAAATTCTCCATCTGCGGGAAAATTCAACAATAGAATTTCCTATTTGGAACTTGCAAGTTTTTGATCGTATTCTACTCTGAAAGCCTGCTAGGCCCTGTGTAAATGTGTGTGTTCTGACACAGAAAACGCCTCAAAGATGGTAATGCAGATTGTGAAACGGTTGAGGAAGCTGTTCAGGTGCAAGAAAAAGCAAACAGCAATGCAGCTGTAGTCATGCCATGTCCGATAGCTCCCACAGCCACACGAGAGTGCTCAGAGGCTCCTTGTAAAAGTATTTACAGGAGTAAGTGTAAAATCAGCAGGTTTGGCTTTTTACCCAAATAATTCTACGGATTAAACGTGCTACAAACAACAAAGCACCCATCAACTGCCAAGGACATTGCTTGTCCACGGAAGGCAGCATCCAGCCAACAGGAGACTCCTCAGATGGTAAAGCATGGACAAGACATTCAGCACTCATCACCCCCACGAGAAAACAACAGGCAGAGACCCAAAAGGCCCCAGACTTACATAGTTCTTGACTTCCCTGCGGGCGTTGGCGTCGATGGCGAGCCATCTCTGTTGGTACTGGGCCTTGATGTCGGGGTCCTTGGACGTCAGGGAGTTCTTGATCTGCAAGCCGGCCGCCACACGAGCAACTTGGCTGTTGCCGGGGTTTGCCAGCACTCTGGACAGTTCCACCAGGAAGGTCGGCTGTGGAGAGAGGAGGGCTCAGACCCGGTGAAAAACATCCCCATCCACCCAAAAAACGACACCATGACTCACCCCAGCTCTTTCTCCACCAGGGCAACAGCAAAGCGCCACCACGGCGGCTCTATCCCGAGATTACGGGCGTTAAGCTCCTAATTAGAACCGCTGGGAAGCGACGTAAGTAGGCATTGACTTTGCTGGATTTTTTTCAGCTTGGGAGACGTTACCTTCCGTGCTCCTGCCTGCTTTAAGTATTCCTTTAAATAAACTGCTCAGGTCGGATGCCAAGATATGTATTTTCTGGATGGATATCAAACGTGGCGAAGAGTAACTCTCTGCTACTTATTTCCTTGCTTCAAGGCAAACGCCTGAACCATAATTTAACACAGGGGTTGTTAAAACGTGAAAGCAGACGCCGCTGTGGTGCGATACAAGGTTTGTGAGATGACAAACGTGCTCCTCTGTAGCCAAAGGAACATGAAGATGAAGATCACCCCCTCCAAACAGCGGATAAAAATACCTGGCATTGGTGCCACTGCTGGTGCGAGCTACTGAGAAATGCCTCCGTGTTTAAATCCCTTCCTCATCTGACAGCTTTACATCTCGGGGACTTCCGCTGTGTACAGGAGGCAGCTAAAGTTTCAGCAGCAGAGCTTTCTCATTTCGCTGGCCCTGCTCAGAAAACCTTTCTAGGAAACAGTGGAAACAGCTGCACCGCGCTCAAAACCAGTTCACACCAAGCAGGAACGCGGCTTTCCTGAAAATCTTTAACATTCAGTTACATGTAACCCGCTTTATAATCTCTGTAACAGGATCTTAAGATAGACACAAGGATTTAGGGCACCAAAAAGCCATTTTTAAAACTAACTTTGAGAAGCCCAACAGAAACACAGAGTAAGTCCAGTGCGTCGGACTCCACATTTCCAAAGAAAAATGTTATCTGGGCTATCCAGCACCCTTCAACATTCAACTTGCAGAATTTGGAATCGAAACTATGGGACAACTTAAACTGATGAGCGTAAGCCGTGTGAGATACTCTGAAATTTTAATGAAACAGAAGAAGCCCCTACACTAAACCACTGCTCGAGCACCAAGATCGCTCACGTTTTATACACTGGTTTTCTTAAAAGCGAGGCATCATCCAAAAGAAGTTCACAAGACAAAATAAAAGCGTTGCTTCTACTTTTGAGAAGAGAACTGTACTAAAATTCAAAGGTGAAGAAGCACCCTTGGATTTCTCACTTATACATTAGCAAAAAAAAAAAAAAGTCTTTTCATCAAGCTACAAGAATAATCTCAGCTCAAAGTGAGGAGCTCTACATTAAGCCTCCCAGACTTGAGACTCCAAGCAAATGCAGATGCATACGACCTCAGCTCACACCTACAGAGGTGTCAATGAAGATCTCAGAAAAGGGTCTAAATTAACCATGGGGAGGAGGAGGGGATGAGGAAGAACAAGGCGCTCTGCGGGCGCATCTCCATTAAGTAACTGGGAGAGCACTCCCAGCCTTGGGTGCAGGATTCTCATCCTGTATCTCCCACCCCTTCCCATCTCAAACCCTTTCCTCTCCCCCTGGGTGAGCTGCAGCTCTTCCCACCCCAGACTGCGACAGGAACAACCCTCAACCCCACATCCTCATCCTCCTGCACAGCCCACTCGGGGCTCCTCAGCCCCTGCCCCTTCCAAGGCTGGGCCATTCTGTGTCCCCATCCCACACCAGGGCACAAATTTTAAGTCTCAGCCTAAGCTCTGCTTGCTCTGCTCACTGCCCTGGCCTGGCTCTTGCAGGGCAGCAAGCATAAGTGAAATCTTGAAAAATCAACTCTTTTAAAAGCTTGAAACCCAGGAGCAGCTCGAGTACATCGCCCTGAAATACTCCATGTAACACAGGCCAGAAAGCTTCAGCCTAATGAGGGTGCTCATAAGACTTAACTAATGGTAATTCAGAGAATTTTGACTCAAAACCGACATTGAGTGCAAAGGCTGCATCAATTCTGATTCTGAGGGATGCTTCCCACACTGTGAAATGGAGCAACATAAAGAAAGGGTCCGTGGCTTTCCCAGTTTACACCACTGGAGATCAGCGTACGTAACTGCTCAAAAACCGAAGGACGGTAGCTCTGCTTGTGACGATAACACCCGTGTGGCACCACCACTGCCAAAACATCGGCAGCCAACGCCCCCAAACATCGGCTGCCCTCCAGGAGAGCCCCACGCCCCCCCTCTGAGGGCCGCAGAGCAGCTGCAGCACCGCACCTTGACTAAGCAAAAATCCCACCCTGCTGCCAGCGAGTCCAACTTTCCTGCACACCCCTCTCCCAGCGCAGGGATGAAACGCGCTGATTTACAGATATTTCCTTTTTTTGACTATTTTTCAGCCCTTTTCTTTTCTTAAGAAGGTCACAGGGAGAACCCAAGGCCCGTGTTCCTGGCTGCACCGCGCCGCTCCCCTTGCTTCTCCCGGGGTGAAGCCCTGACCTCCC